AAAAAAAAGGGAAGTGAAAGCTTCTTAAGAAACAGGTAAATAATCCCCACTTTTGACATCTATGCATCTCGTTTGGATTTAGCTGGAATTTTAACATTTATTTCTACCAAAAACATGGATTCCAGAGGAAGATGATATAAATTCCAGAGCCCTGTTTTTAGAATGATACTTACATTCAAAATAATTCTTTCATTTTCTTCTCTTAAACGAACTTGGATGTTAAAAATAATGTCTATTTGGGAATTGTATGTTTCAGAGTCATCACTAACATCCTATTCTAGTAGTAGCTGCTGAACAGAATCATTTGAGAAAAACCTGAGGTTTGTTGGTTCGAATACCTGGTTGCCTGGGGGTGGGTGGGAGAATGAATATTGTAGAAAGGAAGGGAAGAGAAAAATAATAGTCCATAGATTTCCTCCAGATCCACTTTTTCACTTTGTCATAGAACTTTGCATATGACACTCAAATTCAATAGTTGCTAGTCTTGATCTGTAGTTTACTGGTCTTAATCTGTAGAGGGACTCTAATATGTTCTGAAAAATATTGTGAAAGGGTTCCCCCCCCCGCCCCAAAAAAGAACTGTTTTACTTCACCTAGCTGTAATAGAATCTTCAACTTACTCATTTCTTGTCTATGCCATATTGATATCCCCTAAATTTACCCCCTAGAAGCCAAATATTCTCCTAACCCACCTGAGATTTGAGGGGGGTGGGAAATAATTCTCTTCTCACATCCCTAGTTTAATCTTGTAAAATTTACCCAGCCAACATAATCATCAATCTCTGAGTTAATCATAGGATCAATTAGGACTTTTTAAAAAGTGAACGACCACCCTAAATTGCCTTGCACTGGGGATGCTTTGTCATTTGTTACAAAGCTGCTTAAGTTGAGCATCTCCTTTAAGTGGGAGGCGATAGGAAGGACTGACAGCAAACAGCACTCCTTGCACTGATGATGTTAACTAGTTTGGGTAATGAAAGGTCTGCAAGAAAATAAGCAAGCTCAGAGAGCACCAAGGACCCAAGATCACACCTTCATCCAGGTGAGCAATGAAGCATTCTAGATCATGTCTAACTGCAAAGACTAAGTAAGGGGAAAAAAGACTAAAGCTGGAACAACTAAAGACAACATTAACCATGGACTCGGCATGTGGTAAGAGCCTTGGTGGCACAGTGGTTAGAGTGCAGTATCACAGGCTACTTCTGCTGACTGCCGGCTGCCTGCAATTTGGCAGTTCAAATGTCACCAGGCTCAAGCTTGACTCAGCCTTCCATCCTTCCAAGATTGCTAAACTGAGGACCCAGATTGTTGGGGGCAATAGGCTGACTCTGTAAACCACTTAGAGAGGGCTGTAAAGCACTGTAAAGTGGGATAAAAGTCTAAGTGCTATTGCTATCACATGTGAATGGGACATGTGAAAAATATTTTATGCCACATGTTCAAACTTCGGCTAGTAGATGGGAGAATAAGCCCATCAGCTCTCACCCCTTCATTGGTGAAGTCTTACTTGCAACCAAACAACTGGGTAGTGCTGGCTTAACTGGTGCCAATCAAAATGATACATAGGAATTGAAATGATATACATCAAAGATCTTGGTCAGCTTCATGGTTGCAAAATGCAGAGGAAGACCCTGTTGCAAGAAAATCCAGAAATTAAGTCAGCATTCCATTGAGGAATGCAGCTAGGAGCGGTGTTTTGTGTTATTCATCTACACAGCAATCCTCACAGCGATCCTTTATATCTTTTAAATGTTAATTTCTTTCAGGTAGGTTGTTATATTGTTCTTTTGTAAAATGGCATATAAATAGGGTGCACCATTGGAAGAGCTGAACAACCAGCTTAGGGACGGATCTACACAGAGAAAATCTATTCATATGATTGGTAGGAACTGACAACTTGATGGAAGTAAGACTGTATTACTATTCTTCTCATCCTTCCTATTATATTTCTCTTCCAACTTATAACTATAACCATGTTGCTTGTATCCTTACGATTTATATTGTTTTATTTGTTCCCTAGTATGATTTGATTGTTTATTAGTAACCTATGACTATCACTAAGTGTTGTATCTTATGATTCTTGATGAATGCATTTTATTTTTTCTTTATGTACACTGAGAGCTTATGCACCAAAGACAAATTCCTTGTGTGTCCAATCACACTTGGCCAATAAAGAATTCTATTCTAAAGAACCTAACGTTTCTATCAGTTACAATTGGCTATCTTAGAAGATGGTCAAAATTGTTGTTTTCAAGAAGCAACTGGACTTCCTTGATTTTTCTTGAAAATGTTTCACTCCTCATCCAAGAAATTCAATTTAGAACTTCTTCAGAACTGAAGTTTCTTGGAAGAGAAGTGAAACATCTTCAATAAAAATAAAAAGTGGTTACAATTTTAAAAAAAAAGCATTTTTGAGACAATCATGACCTCAATGATTGAGAATCTCTGTTAGGAATAACATGGTTACCTAACTTAGTTTGGGTAAAATAATATATATAGACTATGATTGTGTGTATCACTTTAAATGAAGACCATGTATTTTGGGTGCGGTTGTAAAATCACCATAAGAGGGAGCAAGAGAGCTCACTGTTTGCTGGCTTTTACTGGATTGCTGACAATGATGGATTGATGGTGATAACTGCGTGTTTTCCCTGCTATTGCTGAGAGAAGAAAAGAGGTTTGATTTTCTTCATATCTCTACGGCAAAAAGAGATATATTACTGGACTGATTATTTGTGAGTTTACTGACCTCTTTTTCGACACTGGACTTTGCTAATGGATAATCCCCGGATGGACTGAACTAAGTGTATGATATATGGACTGTTTGACTATGCTATAACTCTTACTGGAATAAAAACTATTTAACTGGCACAGTGTATGATTTACTGAGTGTAAGCTACAACGTTTATCTCACATATCTGCCTGACTGACTGACTACCGTTGCACGTTCTGCTAGGGTGTATATCCCTAACAATCTCCATAGATATTCTACAACATGGTAGTCTGAAGGTTTCCTAGAAATGATGAGTCTTAGTGGGGCTTGTCAATAGTCTCCACTTGCAATTGCCTCCATCAGCATTAGTAGTTGCTTGGAAACATAGGAAAGAGCAATTCTAGAAAGGGAAATCTTTAGATTGCAGAAGTAGTCAATCTACCAGTTCTTTTAACTTTGTAGACCTCTGTTCTACGAAGCATGTACATACAGAGACAGATGTCTCTTGACTCCCATTAGATGCTGCTGCTGTCAGCATTCTGAGTAACATGTCTGCCAAAAGCAGAACTCCGAGACATGTAGATTCCTCAAAGAACATGTTTATTGGATATATCATATCAGCACAGCCAGTGAAAACTGACTCTAACAGTTCATGAGGTTTTTCCCTAATTAAAAGAGCAAATGTTCTCCCTCCCAGATGTCACCACTCCTCTCCTCCTTCAACTGCCACCTGTTAAGATGACCTTGGTTCCCACAAGAAAATGTTTGTTTTGACTGTTAGCCAGTCTATCTACTTTCCCCTCTCAGGATTCATGGCAACTGTGAGGCAGCAAAAGATGGCTTCAGCCAGGTTCGCTTCAGAGTTGACAGCTGCATCATAAGGAGACCCAGAATCCTATCTCCACTGTCAGATCCAGTAAGATAAGGAGAAATAATTGGGAGACAAATGATCCCACAATCATGTGGATTTGTAACATGAAGGGCTTTATGGGTGATAACCAGCACATAGAATTGCTCTTGATTGTTATTGATTATGAAACGACATTAGCCACATAAAGTCCTTTTTGGAGGGGAGGGCTGCCTTAATTTACGCTTCACTTTCCCCAAGAAGAAAGGTAAATGATAGTTTATTTCAACTTATTTCTGTCCACTCTGCAACTGTGATTCTGAGCAGGTAACAATAATAAAAAAAAATATAGAAGTCTGACATAATTAAAAACAATTGCAGTATCATCAAGACAGCATGCATCAAAGACACAAATAAATCTCCATTTTACACAAAAAATATATTACAAGCAATTAACCACCAAGTGAGGTCTTTGACATCTTATAGAAGGCTGACAAGTTTTGGGGAGAAAATGTTCTTCCACGGGGCAGGCACTAACACAGAATATGCATGTCCCCTGCAAGATGGCATTCCTTCATAGAAGGGATCTGGAGCTGGCTCTGATGGGACTAGCAGAAATTCTCCCTGGTCCCGTACCATGTAAGATTTTAGATGTGGCCATCAGCATCTTGCCTTGTAACCAGAAGCTTACCTGGACACTAGAATTGAGCAGTGATGTTACATGTTTTCCTCCGTAACACTCCAGGGGCAAATGATCAGCCACCTAATCTCCACTCATGGGAGGGCAGAGAGGATTCTGGGGATTCCACTCCACCTCTCATCCAGGAGGGACCTAGGCATTCAATCCACCTCAGTTGTCTGCAATCCTGACACAGCATCCCGATTTGTGTCCTCCCACTGCAATTGCCTTCTGCCAGCAAAGATACATCAGGCAATAAGAACCCTTCAGAAACTGGCAGATAACCCCAATGAGCCTTAGGTAGGAAGGCCATTGTCAGGTATGGTTGACCTCATGGCAGCCGTAGGACTCAGTTGTTCTGTTGCATTGCCAGCCTAGTTCCACTCCCCGGTCTTCCTTGCCCCCTGCCCTCCAGGACAGGGGTCCCCAAACTTGATAATTTTAAGACTTGTGGACTTCAACTCCCAGAATTCTGGCTGGAGAATTCTGGGAGTTGAAGTCCACAAAACTTAAAGTTGCCAAGTTTGGAGACCTCTGCTTTGCAGGACCCAGATGTATCTCTGGGCAGCCACTAATTGCTGATACTGTTACCCCTAGATATTCACACTTTCATTTTTTTCAAAGTTTTATTAAGGTTTATGATAGCATAAAATACAATAAAAATAAAGATTTCTTTAAAAGGGGGGGGGGGCAGTGCAGGATTTTTAAAAAAACCCAAAGAAAAAAGAAGTTGACTTCCAACTCTTTCCAACACAATAAAAAATGAATACAATTACAACCTCCAATTTTTACATATACTTCTTGTAAGTCAGTTCTGTAATTACACAATTATTAAATTAGCTGTGTGTTTCCCCAAAATGGGGACATAAAGAAAAATGTAATTGATGGCTTGGTATCCCCAGCAAAACATTAAAATAACATCAAAATAACAACACACAGTGACTCCATTACACAATTGCTGCAGTTTTACACTTGGTCCCAACATCTGATGGAAGTAGCCTTTGGGGCGATCACATGTTTTTGTCATTTGCGCTTCCATGGACTCCAAAGGAACACATTTTTAAAGAAAATTAAGAAACACATTTTTTTTTGCCACTTCCATTCAGTTGCAAAGAAACTGAATAGTTATTTAATAATTTAACACTGCAGACAGAAATCAAGTCACTTGAAGCCAAGTGATTTTAAAATATTTTTTCTTATTCATCTGGAAATGATGCAATCCTGTACATCTTGTTTAACATTCATGAGAGGTTATTTTATGCAGTCCCTTTATTACTGTGTGTCATGTCCACATTTGGTCTAGAATGACCTGAATCTTCAGTCAGTACAAGAGACTGTTCCATCTCTTCCTCTTTTTCCCAACTTCACTCGTTGATGTTCAGAATGCCCAAGAAACATGTAACCTTGTTTATTTAGAAGCTGCTCACAGTGAACTGAAATGAATATACTGGTAAATAACTGATATGAATATTAATCTAATAATCTGTATTTCTTCTGCAAGTTATGCTGCGCTGAGGTCTGTAATCTAACCAAGGTACAGAACAATCAGAATCGGTTTCCCGGATCATAGAGGGAGCCACTTCTGTTTGGTAGATGTAATTCAAATTGTCTTTTGAAAGGAGAGGTGCTTCTGGTGTGCAGGGATTGGGGCTGCTTGTAAAACCAAAGTCTTGGAGAGGTTTGTAGGATGTTACACCTGAGTTGAATTTCTGGTTTGTTCTCTCTTTTATCTGCACTTCTGGATAATAGGTGAATTGAGAATACGTCTTATTTTCCAATAGTATTCCCAAAGTAGATTGTTTGGGACTGAATTCCTGAGGCTTCTCCAGCATGACTAATTGGTTAGGGATCATATCATTTACTTCTGTTATTCCAAGACTCATCTGTGTGTGAAAAACAACTGAATTAAAAACTGAATTAAAAATGCACATAAAGAGCAGATAGAACAGAGTGAAAAACAGATATTCCAATATCAGAATACACTTTCAGCTTCCATTCAAGGACAGGGGTCTGGTCCATTCATAGAGTAATAATAGAATCTTATTTAAAAGGAGATTGAATCTTTTATATATATATACACTGCTCAAAAAAATAAAGGGAACACAAAAATAAGACATCCTAGATCTGAATGAATGAAATATTCTTATTGAATACTTTGTTCATTACATAGTTGAATGTGCTGACAACAAAATCACACAAAAATTATCAATGGAAATCAAATTTAGCAACCCATGGAGGTCTGGATTTGGAGTTACACTCAAAATTAAAGTGGAAAAAAACACTACAGGCTGATCCAACTTTGATGTAATGTCCTTAAAACAAGTCAAAATGAGGCTCAGTAGTGTGTGGCCTCCATGTGCCTGTATGACCTCCCTACAATGCCTGGGCATGAGGTGGCGGATGGTCTCCTGAGGGATCTCCTCCCACACCTGGACTAAAGCATCCTCCAACTCCTGGACAGTCTGTGGTACAACGTGGCGTTGGTGGATGGAGCGAGACATGTCCCAGATGTGCTCAATTGGATTCAGGTCTGGGGAATGGGCGGGCCAGTCCATAGCATCAATGCCTTCATCTTGCAGGAACTGCTGACACACTCCAGCCACATGAGGTCCAGTATTGTCTTGCATTAGGAGGAACCCAGGGCCAACTGCACCAGCATATGGTCTCACAAGGGGTCTGAGGATCTCATCTCGGTACCTAATGGCAGTCAGGCTACTTCTGGCGAGCACATAAAGGGCTGTGTGGTCCCCTAAAGAAATCCCACCCCACCCCATTACTGACCCACTGCCAAACTGGTCATGCTGGAGAATGTTGCAGGCAGCAGAACATTCTCCACGGCGTCTCCAGACCCTGTCACATCTGTCACATGTGCTCAGTGTGAACCTGCTTTCATCTGTGAAGAGCACAGGGTGCCAGTGGTGAATTTGCCTATCTTGGTGTTCTCTGGCAAATGCCAAACGTCCTGCACGGTGTTGGGCTGTAAGCACAACCCCCACCTGTGGACGTCGGGCCCTCGTACCACCCTCATGGTGTCTGTTTCTGACAGTTTGAGCAGCCACATGCACATCTGTAGCCTGCTGGAGGTCATTTCGCAGGGCTCTGGCAGTGCTCCTCCTGTCCCTCCTTGCACAAAGGCGGAGGTAGCGGTCCTGATGCTGGGTTGTTGCCCTCCTATGGCCTCCTCCACGTCTCCTGATGTATTGGCCTGTCTCCTGGTAGCGCCTCCATGCTCTGGACACGACGCTGACAGACACAGCAAACCTTCTTGCCAAAACTCGCATTGATGTGCCATCCTGGATGAGCTGTACTACCTGAGCCACTTGTGTGGTTGTAGACTCCGTCTCATGCTACCACTAGAGTGACAGCACTGCCAGCATTCAAGTGACCAAACCATCAGCCAGAAAGCATAGGAACTGAGAAGTGGTCTGTGGTCACCACCTGCAGAACCACTCCTTTGTTGGGGATGTCTTGCTAACTGCCTCTGCTTTCCACCTGTTGTCTATTCCATTTGCACAACAGCATGTGAAATTGATTGTCAGTCAGTGTTGCTACCTAAGTGGACAGTTTGATTTCACAGAAGTGTGATTGACTTGGAGTTACATTGTGTTGTTTAAGTGTTCCCTTTATTTTTTTGAGCAGTGTATATCGAGATTGGAGTCATGAGGGAAGAGGAGATATTAGCTCATTGGTCAAATGGAAAGGTAGAAGAAACCCACAGGCCTTTTTTCTAACTCAGATTGGTTAATTCTTTCCTGACACTTATTATCCCAATACATAACCATCACCATCATTTTTGTAGCTAACCACTACAAATTTACGGTATGAGTCCTACATATTTATAGAGAATACTGCGTTGGAAAATGTTATCACCAATTCCAAATCATTTTTCCTGACATGGCTATTGAGGTAATTATCAGAATTACTTTTAAATCTGTGTATATTAATTAGCCATTCATTTATCATACTGGGTGGTTTTGTTTTTGTTTTTTTGTTTTGCCAACACCACCTTTTTATCGCACTCAGAAATGAAAAACTGAATCCCCTAACAAAATATAAATAAAAACTCTGAATATATAGTAGATACTCCTCAATGTGGGCCTTACCTTTTTTCTAATTCTTTTTATCTGTTTTCATACGCTATCTCCAAAATATTTAGGGGCAGTACAGAGATTTGTTTTTGCAAAAGCTATACAAAATAAGCTGCTTTTTATCCTAATGTTCCAAGGTGTCTACTACTTTCATCAAAATGAGGAACGTAGCATTGCACCATTAGGGTACAAACTCTGCCCTTTACGCATTTCTATGCAACATCACAACTATGCAACAACTATGCAACATCACAACTAAGAAGAGGTGGACTTCATTGTCATGCCCCCATCCGAGTCTGTATCTGCGGGGAATGAGGAGCTGCGACAAGAACTGACAGAGATTGAGAGGCCGGCTCCATTGGCCTTGGAGGAAACTGGGGAAGGGCAGAATCCGTCCAGGCAAGGCTTTTCTGAATTAGTAAGGCCTGCAGACAAGGGAGAGCTCAGGAGAAGAGCAAGGACTACCCACTCCTGATCCGAGAGCAAGGAGGGAAGAGAGATGGCGAGATCAACACAGATTGAACTGGTTACGAGGGAGGAGAGTACCATGGCACACCTGGAGACTGAGATGAAAGGAGATGCCATGGGAGAGGCATTTGTCAGGAACAAGCATTGAATCTGTGGAGCCTCATAAGCACTTGCCAAAGCCTGGAGATTGCTGTACTCTGTCTTATGGGCTTTGCCAGTTTGCCTGCTTCGCTGAACTTCTTGCTCTGGTTACTCTTTAGTTAACCTGACTTATTGCACTACTGGCCCTGGGTTTCTGTTTGATTAACGTGGTTTACTGGACT